AATTATATGAAAACAACAGCTCATGTTCATGGACTCGGACCTTTTCTACTCTGTAATCCCTTTGTGAGGTAGTTCAGTCTTGCCTTACTTTTTCAAGAGAATAACAACTTGCCAAAAAGCAGTGCATTTGGAGTGTTTTAAATGTATGTATCCTGAAATACTATTTTCAGAACTTTGCACAGTTGAAATGTATTTTTTTCTTCACATAAAAACAGTGTAAAATATATTTACCATCTGGAAAAACTGGTTTGGTTTTCATTTATATGATTTGCAAGATCTTCAAAATTACTTACAGTTATTTTTCCATTCTTCTGATGTTTTTCCATTTGCATTTTTTCAAAGTTCACTTTTTGGTGGTGTAAGTTTTCATATGTTGATAATGTCAAACATATCTGCAATATCACTTAGTTTTATCCATTCGTTATATAACTTACTGACTTGAAAATTTTGGCTAATCTCTTTTCAGATCAAGGAATCTATTGTTGGTGAAATAAGACGAGAAATAGTAAGTGGATTGTTAGCAGCTGTATCGCCCCAAAACAGATCTGCAGCTGCAAAACAAGATACACAGCCATGAAACTGGTACTGCAGGTAATCTTTGGGGATCTACAAGAACCAGATTTCATTTTTTTTTTGTTGCATGAAACATCATTGTTAGTTTAAACCTTGCTTTGTTTGCATTTTCCCCTTGAAACATAAGTGACCAAAATTGAAGTTCAGTAAGTACAGAGAATACTAATAATCCTGGATAGCTTTGGAAAATCAGCTGATTTGTAGTTTGTTGGCCCATTCTACTGTCAGTTATCATACAGTGGTCCTTGATTTTTAGTTTTAATGTGCTCTGTGATGACTTTGTATGTGAATGCGGTATCCAAGAGGATTTATGTAGTTTGCCTGCCTTAGATATGAATATTATCAAAATGCATACTTGAGCATAACAAGCAGACTGCCAAAAATCTAATTTAGATCTTTGTCTTGCTCTTTTTTCCCCATAAGGTTGGATGTGGTTCGAAATGCTGTGGGATTCTGCTTTGGGCAGCACACACTGGTGGAAGTGTCAAGTTGGTTTTGCTTCAGAAAGTGTTAAAGCTGCTGAGATAGGCTACTGTATTCGAAGCTTGGTTCTATGATGTGTACCTTTCCTTGAGTTCCTCTGTAAAGACTTAGACACTTTAACTAGTTCATTACTTTCCTTAGAGCATCAACAAAATTGTGGCACTCTGAAAGGTTTTGTATTTATTTGTATGTCCCTGTTGTAAATTTTTATGTAGCTAATTTCTTTGTCTAGTGATGCATCATGAAACTTGAAGGTTTCCAGATGTAACCAATTTATAAATAACACACATGCATTCCGCCTAGCTTTTTTTTTAAGAAAAAAAACAAACCCCACAACAGACCTACCCCCCACCCCACAAAACACTGACCTCTATGAGGTATTTATTGTGCAATAACTGATCCACTTTAAGAGCTTGAAACAACCAGTAATGGTTTCCACTGCTGTTACATAGTGCCACTTGAGAAGAAGGAAACAATCCTGTTGTAAAAATTGCTGTTAATTCTTGGGGCGGTTACTATTAGCAGAGTGGTAGAATGACATGAGGTTACTTAAAACTACTTAAAGTTCTGACACTGAAAGCCTTATCTTTGTGTAGAAGACAACTTTTAACTAATTTTAATTGCTTCCTTACTGTTTGCCTATTCCTCTATAAGAAAGTGCCTTATTTAAGCACTGGGGTATTTTTAGGTGTTGACTGCTCACAGTCATACCAAGAGAAGTTCTCTTCTGCTTTGTATTAACCAAAATGCAATGAAAGTACTGATCTTCTGAAAGCAATTAGGATGTGCAACTTGGGATGGATAAACGACCTTGCTTGTATTATGGGGAAAATGGAAAAAAAATCTCATTTTCTTTCCCATCCTTCACTGAGTGTGTTTTCAGTTAGCCTGGTGAATATGCATTTGTTCCAATGGAGCAAATTGGAAGTCATTGGAGTTTTTATGTGGTCAAGTAGATATTGAGTGGATATGTAATATCCCTTTTGGCTGTGCTTGTAATCTCTTTACTCCTTTGCCATTTCCAACTACTAAAACTCTACACTATGTCAAGGTCTTTAATCAAAAATAGTTTCAAATATTACAACATTATATGAAAAAGTTTATAAAATCTTAAATTGTGTTAGGAAGACACATAAGGGCTGATTTCTTTAAAAATGTGTATATTAAACCAATAAAATATTTATTTTGCCTATAATCTGTGTCAGTGTTTTTCATTGTGTGTGGTTTACTCTTAAGCAAAATAACTACTGTAGATTTGATCAAACAGTACACAGAATGGAGAACAGCAGAAAAGCTCAGGACTTGGATTTCCAAAAGCTTTCAGTTGTTCAGGGGACCCTATATGCATAGGAAATGTGAGATATAAATTTGTGAGAAATATTGGCACTTAAAACTATACTCTTGAAGCTGTTGACCTCTGTTGTCGCTCCAGGAATTTGGTTGGTGTTGAACTCTCCTCAGGCTTTTTCCCTGTGAGTAGAGCCAGAACTTTAAGTTGAAATATAAACCCTGACATCACTTACAGATGGCAATTCATGCAGGTGGTAAGCTGCAGTAGATTTCTGCTCTGCTTTGCAGGTTGCATAAATACACAGTTCCATTCCAGAATGCCATGGGAAATCAGCCAGCCAGACCTGAGTGCCTGCAATCTTCCTTTGCAAATGCATAAACCCAAAACCTACTCAAAGACTTGCAGCAGCAGATTCTGGCCTTGTCCCCCAGCCAGATAAATTAGCACACTTGACCACTAACATAGGTCCTGTGCCTATAGCTACTCAAAGCAGCTTTCCAAGAAATGTGGCAACTGTGTCTCTCATGGAGTGATGGAGGAAAGTCCTTTAGGAGCTGGTGACCTTCGAGCATCCTCCATGGAGGTGGCAGCCTGACTTCCTGCTGCTCTGGCAAGGTGTCACTTGTAGGTAACCTTCCAGAGTGTCTGGGGCACTTCAGCTCTCAGCTTGTAAGACTGTTTGATCTCAGCAGTGCAGACTCTAGTGTTTAATATATCCTGAGAATTGAAAAATAGTGCCAAATTTTCGTCTGGCTGATGGAAAGCAGATTTCTGAGGTTTGGGCATAATTTAAAATAGAGACATTTCAAAATGACATTTCTAAAAACTGTACTGAAACTAACGAATATAAAAGCACCTATTTTTTCCACAGTCAGAATAACAGATTTTTGCCATTCTTTAAGATGTTTGCAGCTAGTGTTTTCTGAGCAACATTTATGTAGATGTAGGAAAGTCTATAAACTCCTGTTTAAAACCAGTTCATTTTAGTGCATTGTAGTCATATAGGTTAAGCTGAGCTGGTGTCAAGTTCTGTTGACAATTCTGCTTGTGCCTTAGGAACAGCCATCATTATTATTGAACACAGGCCTAACCTGGGTGACTTATCCTTTAGTAATGTCAATCCTGCTGTAATGATTTTCTGAGCATGCGCAGTTTTTGTTTTGTTTCATGGTTCAAACTACTACTTTCCTCACAAGTTAGTGTTGTCTTTTCTTCTGCCAGCCTGCAATTTGATATGAATTCTATGCAGATTAAACCAGCTGATAAATATTTGTCAATCAAATTTGCTGTGAGTAAAGCCATCAGTAATGCCTGAGATATTTTGGATGCTTTTCTAAAGTTCACTATGATACCAATCTCTGTCATTGCCAGTTGGCTGTAGGAATAACAGGAGAACCCACCCAATCAACATGTGGCTTAAAGACTAGTGCCATTGGTGGAATTTTGGTTTTATTGATTGTGGGGTGGTTTAGACAGCACCAGGCTGGCTAGAGACAGATGGGGTTCACCTGCCTAAAAGTGGAAAAAGCATACTCGACCATGAGTTGACAGGGCTGATTTGAGAGGGCTTTAAACTAGGCTTGAAGGGGGAAAGGGATGAGACTAGGCTTGCTAGAGATGAGCCTAGGGTGACAGGCTGGTGTTGGAGGTGAAATCGGTGGCCCAGCTGAAGTGAACCTACACCAATGCACACAGTTTAGCTAACAAACTGGAGGAACTGAAGGCCATTGTACAGTGCAAAGCAAAACCATAACTAAGACACAGGAAAAAATTCCTTTGGAGGATTTTTTTCAACAGGCAACAAGCCCAAAACTTTGAAACTTGGATGATGTCATAAAATAGAATATTTGCTGATTAGATGGCTTCAGTCCAATGCAACACTTTCTTCTGAATTAACATGATAATGTAAAAATATTTGATTTTCAGGAAAAACAAGAAACTCATTAACTCAGCATAATGCAAATTTACTTTGATTTTTCATATGTGATTTTAGATGTGATGGTAATCCTTCATATTCATGCCACAGAATAAAAATGCACAATATTTTTTGTAAAAGCTCTAACAATAAAAGACAAGACTTTAAAAAAAATGAAAATCACTTGATAATTTCACATAGTTTGTATATTAGATGATTCTGCATAGATGCTTGCGAAGTGATGATGAATATATACAAACCCATTTTTTCATTTTCTTTACATGGTAAAAGGAGAAAGCCTGGACAACATTAAGTAATGAAAAGCTAGCAATGAAAGCACAGCACGATGAAAAGACAGCATTGCCTTAGTGAAGCTGTTCTGCTTGCTGTGAAATCTGTGATACAGGCACCTGCTTTTTCCTTTGTGTAATAACCTAAAGTTTCTCACTTTTTTTTCTGAAGTAGTTCTGTTTTCCATTGGTTGCTGCAACATACTAGGGAGTTTTAGAGTAAAGGCTTTAAGAATATATCTAGAAAAAGACTTCTTTTTAGTGTGTTTAGCTTTAGTTTTAGATTTTGTTTCAAAAGTATCACAAAGATGGGGGAGTGATTTTGAAGGGCAATGTCCTATACTAAAGATCGATCAATGCAGGTGTTAAATATTAACTTAATAAATTAGGTTTTGTTAGGTTTTGGGAGAGGGTCACAGGAAAAATTACATCTAGGCATGTTTTTGCACTGACATAAGCGATGGGAAAAAAAGCTTAGCAAAGAGATCGATTATTCTTAAATACAAGGAGTGTGGCAGCATAGGCTGTGAAACGCTTGGAGTTCTGTTGCAGTAACACGAGGGCAACCATGGCAGACGAAACTAAAGGTCAGTATCTTCACCCCCACAGTGGCCAATAGAAATGCTACTCTTGGGGAAAACTGTAGCCCAAGGGGAGTGTGGGGAGCACCTATGCCCTCCCACTCCTGGCAGGTGGTGGCTCTGGCATTTTCTGGACAGCAGTGGTAGCTTCAATGGATTTCTTTTCCATGACAGTTAATCTAATTGCTTTTCTAGTTTGCGTAAATTTTCAGTGTCCACAGCATCCTGTGGCAATGAGTTCTGCAATTTGAGCACAACCTGCATGGAGAAGGTTTTTCATTTGATCCAATCCCTGAATAATTTCACATGATGCTTTCTAGCTCTGTTGCCACCTTCAAGCCCCATGGGGCTGCAGACAAGGCACAGCCTGAATTGGGGTAGCCCTTGGTTCCTGGCTTGTCCCTACTCATGAAGCAGCC